AAAACAAATAGATATATTAATCTGATCTGTTTAATTATTTATTAAAAAAATATTAATTAATCCTTTTTTATCCCTTTTTTCATCTATCCTGTCATTTTGGCTGAATGAGAGTCACATTTTTTGTTGTTTCTGGAGTGTCAGAATAGCAAATAAAGGCTCCGCTCTCTTCTGGAAAACAGCAGCATTTGCATTTAAAGGGACACACACATAAACAATGCTTTTGATAACACCTAAACGGGTAATTTGCTAGCTAGATTATATATTCACTATATATATATATATATAATCTGTGGGCTATTTTGTTCACAAATTTCACAGACTCATTCAGGGTACATCAGCGATTTATTTGGCTTATTCTGAAAAAGGATATAATGTGTCCCCTTTAAGGTTCAGGTGAATGAGTGCATCAGGTGCGCCTCGTGAAGTGTGTAAACAAGGCTGTTTCCATGGTTTCCATCTGAGAATGGGCTGCCATGTCAACCGGTGAGTGGTGAGTCAGCGGTGAGGAGGGAAAAGTAAAGGCGAAGCGTCCAGAAAAACTCCACACTGACCACAGCAAACGCCAGCAAATGGAAAGCATTAAACATTCGGGTTTTGCCAAGGCAATCTTTAGCCGAGCGCCGCTGACATCGGAAGGATGCTAACAAGACCATTAAAGATGGTTTACACTGAGAGAGCAGAAAGCAACAAGAGGGCTTTCACATAAACTGTTACCAGAGCAACATCAAACCTGAAGAGGTAAACAAACTGAGCAATGGCATCAGAAAACAGCTGCCATTACAGGGCCTGTACAAGAGCAGAGGAAACAGCACTTCCTGAAGTGCGGAAAGTATATATTATAGTATCTCTTTTTTTTATTATGTCACTATGCATTTTTAAAACATGTTATATAAAATATATTATTAAAAATGTATGTGTGTATATATATATATATATATATATATACACACACACACAGTTGAAGTCAGAATTATTAGCCCCCGCCTTTAATTTTTTTTTTTTTCCTTTTTTAAATATTTTGAATACAATTATATACAGTATGTCTGATAAAAATTTTTTTTTCTGGAGAGGGTCTTATTTGTTTAATTTCGGCTAGAATAAAAGCAGG